ACAGACGGACAGACAGACGGACAGGGCCAAATCAACTCAGCTCGTCGCCCTGATCAAGAATATATATACTTTGTGGGGTCTGCCACGCCTCCTTCTGCCTGTTACATACATTTCAACAAAACCATTATACCCTGATTTCCCATTGAAAATGGGTTCAGGGTATAAAAACGGCATTATTGACCTCTGCCTGTTCGTAGTAGTCTTCCTGATTTTGATCATACTGGTCGTTTGAATTGCCGTCATAAGTTTTATATCGGTCTCGGTTATTATTCCTATTTTGTTCTGTTTCTAAGTTATCTATTTATATGGGCTCTGCATTTTTGCACTATAACGCTTAGTCTGTTGCGAGCCCGTTTGCTGATAATTCTGGTTTTGTCGGCTTTGCCCCGAATTATTGCCTCTCATATTCTGCTGAGTGCTATTTTGTCTGTATTGCCCTGAGTTATTATTTCTGTTATTTTGCTGTTGGCTCTTATTATTAGGGTTAAAACTCTGAGCTGTGCTAAACTGTTGATTGTGCTGTTGGTCATATTGTTATACCCTGAACCCATTTTCAATGGGAAATCAGGGTATAATGGTTTTGTTGAAATGTATGTAACAGGGAGAAGGAGGCGTGGCAGACCCCACAAAGTATATATATTCTTGATCAGGGTGACGAGCTGAGTTGATTTGGCCCTGTCCATCTGTCTGTCCGTCTGTCCGTCTGTCCGTCTGTCCGTATGTATGAACGCGTCGATTTCAGAAGATATAAGAGCTAGAGACTTCAAATTTTTTTTAAAATGTCCGTAATTACAGCGCGCATATCAAGTTTATCATTAAAAATCGATAACTCATCTCGATATTTTTTTATCGATAAAAACCCTTATCGAAACCCAGTTATAAAATTATATCTTCTACACCTTTATTGCTAGAGTCTCCAAATTTTTAATGTATGCTTATATGCAATTTATACAATTTCGGTTTTTGTTAAAATTTACCCCCCACCTCTAAATTCACCCCCTCACCCTCACTTTTGTAAAAAGCGTATTTCAAATACTAGAGACTTGTGCTTTGGCAAGTACATGCATATTCATGTTATAATCATAATCTAAAAGTTTCATGAAGATCGTACGTCCATAAAAAAGTTATTAAACAATTAAGTTCTCATAGTAAGCGCACACTGCAGCCCATGCGTGTTTATGCATGGTTGCTTGTGTGTGTATGTGTTTGTGTATGTGTGTGTGTATGTGTGTATGGGTTTGTGTATGTATGAGTGTGTGTGTGTATGTGTGTCTGTATGCGTGTGTGTGTATGTATGCCTGTGTTTGCGTACGTGCGTGTGTGTGTGTGTGCGTGTTTCTTGTGTAAGCTGAAAGTCGCGAAAAAGTATTGAAATATCTATTGCTCCAAGGGTTCAGGGGATCTCGTAGTCGAGCAGTCTCGACTAGAGCTTTCTTACTTGTTGATATATTGGTTTTGTGCAATGTCCGTCTTGCTGTCCGTCCGTCTGTCCGTATGAACGCAATCTACTTCGACGCTATTGAAGCTAGAGACTTGAAATTTGGAACACATACTTGTTTATATCTCCGATCTATAAAGTATTTTCCCGATCCGCCCACTAGGGGCGTGGCAAATCGGAAAATGCATTTTCCGATATGCCAGATATCATATTACTTGAAGAGCTAGAAAGCTGAAATTTGGTATGTAGATCTGCGTCGACAATTAAAAGGCGTGGCAAATCGGACCTGAAGATATAGTGATTTTTTAAATTCTGATATATTTGGACACTATTGATGACAGAGACCTCAAATTCGAAAAAAACTGTATTTTCTACAGTACTAGGGCGAAACTTAACTACTAAATTGTTGATGTGAATGAGTATTCCGCAGTCGGTAACGCCCGACTGCAACGTTCTGTCTTGTTTCTTTAATTTTTGCTATGAATGGCTTCTTGTTGAAAATTTTCTTAAATATTTCAAAATGAAGTTTTATTATTATGTACTATAATAGTTTTTATCAATACACGCATTTATAAACATGATTAGATATAATAGTATATAAATGTACGTAAATATGTACATATATATCTGCGTGGAGTGGATATGGCAGTCCGTAAGACGAATCAACCAGCGGAAAATGATCTTTATTGCCAAAATTACTGAATTAAGCCATAAAGGCTCATTTGACAGTCACTATACAATTCAAACCATACAAAATTGACAAACTACTGGATCGCCAGACAATTATCATCCCATCTCATACATACATACACAATTTGCTCAGGCAGCAAATGTTACGCACACAGGCCACAAATGCTCACACATGTTTCCAGAGACTGCAAGTGTGTGTGTGCTTGCCCGTCGCGAAATCATATTCTTTATGCGCATCAACGCTTTCATACCCTTCCCACGAATAACCATCGAAACGCTTACATTTTGTTTGCATGAGCGTGACAAACGCTTTTATGATTTCGGTATACCCTTCACTCAAAAGGAAAGAGCGGGGTCGTTGCGAACAATTTTCAATTTCCGTGCGCTGCTGCTATTTGAGAGACCATAAGGAGAGGGAGAGAGTGAGTAAGGGAAAAAGAGCGCATAACCGTGCTTCATTTGATAATGTGTGCATTTCGTGGCAGCAGTCGCAGTCTGGTTAGTGGCATTATTAATATTCGTTGCTAACGTTTCCGTTAGTTGCTATTAGGCACTAACCATTTCGTCGCGTTCACTAGCAGCTATATTCTTTTATAAGCAGAGCTTGCAAATGAGAGTTGATCGTTTTTTCGTTTATTCTCTTCCTCGCATCATAACCAAACAAGTAAGAAAGCTCTAGTCGAGACTACTCGACTACGAGATCCCCTGAACCCTTGGAGTAATAGCTATTTCAATAATTTTTCGCGTCTTTCAGCTTACACAAGAAACACGCACACACAGGCATACATACACACATACATACACACATACACACACACATACACACACACACACACATACACAAACAATTACATACATATACACACACAAGCATAAACACGCATGGGCGGCAGTGAGCGCTTACTATGAGAACTTAATTGCTTAATAACTTTTTTGTGGACGTACGATCTTCATGAAACTTTCAGATTATGATTATGACATGGATATGCATGTAATTGTCAAAGCACAAGTCTCTTGTATTTGAAATACGCTTTTTACAAAAGTGAGGGTGAGGGGGTGAATTTAAGGGCGGGGGGTAAATTTTAACAAAAACCGAAATTGTATAAATTGCATATAGGCATACATTAAAAATTTGGAGACTCTAGCAATAAAGGTGTAGAAGATATAATTTTATAACTGGTTTTCGATAAGGTTTTTATCGATAAAAAAGATCGGGATGAGTTATCGATTTTTAATGATAAACTTGATATGCGCGCTGTAATTACGAACATTTTTAAAAAAATTTGAAGTCTCTAGCTCTTATATCTTCTGAAATCGACGCGTTCATACATACGGACAGACGGACAGACGGACGGACGGACAGACGGACAGACGGACGGACGGACAGACGGACAGACAGACGGACAGGGCCAAATCAACTCAGCTCGTCGCCCTGATCAAGAATATATATACTTTGTGGGGTCTGCCACGCCTCCTTCTGCCTGTTACATACATTTCAACAAAACCATTATACCCTGATTTCCCATTGAAAATGGGTTCAGGGTATAAAAAATTGTGCAGACACGTCTCGCTCTGAGCGTCACTCTCTGTTTTCTTTAGCATCTGTTTCGCTCAGACGCAATGCAATGACTCATTCGTGTGACGCTCTCACATGAGTGTCGCGTAAAACTAACACGATTTTCCCTCACACAAAGACTGTCAGCATAAAACACTTTGACTAAAAAACTCAGCAGAAATTGTCTTTGCCTTCGTGTGCATGTAAATACACGCATACATACATATAAAAAACCATTATACCCTGATTTCCCATTTTCAATGGGTTCAGGATATAACAAGTAAGAAGGCTCTAGTCGAGACTGCTCGACTAGGAGATACCCTGAACCCTCTAAGCTGATATTCTAATCATTCTGCATTTTTATGCACACATACATACACATGCATCCACACGCACGCATAAGCCTGCGCTCTGCTAACTGCGCAGTAAGCAGCGACTGCGCTTGGGCTGCGCTGCAGTGTGGGCAATATTATGAGAATTCATTTGTTGAATAATTTCTTTTATAGACATACGATCTTAATGAAACTGTCAGAGCGTAATCATATGGTGAATATATGTGTACATTCCAAAGCACAAGTCTCTAGTACTTGAAATGCGTTTTTTACAAATTGGGGGAGAAGGGGGCGTGGTATCCAAAATCTGTAAATTACAAAATCTTTGTATCCATTAACTTTATATACAACGCAAGTTTGAAGACTCCAGGTCTAAAAGTGTTCAAATTAGGCTAAAAAAACAAAATCATTTTTTCGATTATTCTCGATAAAAAAGTTATCGGATGAATTATCGAAAAAATAAAGCAAACTCGTACTGCGTATGGTACACACGAGTATGCATGCCAAATTTCAGCTCTCTAGCTCTTATAACTTCTGAGATCGACGCACTCATACGGACGGACAGACGGACAGGGCTATATCAACTCAGCTCGTCGCGCTGATCAAGAATATATATACTTTATGGGGTCTGCCACGCCTCCTTCTGCCCGTTACATACTTTTTCACAAAACCATTATACCCTGATTTCCCATTTTCAATGGGTTCAGGGTATAAAAAGAACGCAGCAATCGCGCGTGATTACCCATACAAACGCAACTTACCGTTTGCTTCATTTAACTCAAGCAAACGATCAGTGTTTGACTTGAGGAAACGAAAACAGAAATAACTGTCCCCCTCAGAGCGCGAGCGAGCTAAGCCAGACGCGACAAAAACAGTTTCTGTCTGAGTTTTTTTGACTGTGTCAGTGAAAGACACTTTTTTGCAGACAACGAAAAAGTGTTAACAGTTATTTGCGAGCTATGATTATAAGTGCTCTGGCGAACAGTATGTTTTCCGTAAACTTACAGTGATCGCGGGTCCCTGCAAAGGTTTTTTATTTAAAAAAATTGTAATTCTTTCCGAGCTGGATTAGAACGAACTTAAGAATAATTACACAAGTATTATATATGAATTCCACATATATATATTTATATGAATGCTTTTTTATTACACATAAGCCTAGTGTCAATTTTAATAATTTAAATTAATTTTACATTTAAATTTTAATTAATTTATTTACTTATTACAATATGATACTTTGTACTCATAACTTAGAGAATAAATCATACTGAAATTTTTTTTATGTTTTCAAAACTTAATTTAGGTGCAACTACGAAATGTTTGGCTACAGGCAACTTTGGGATTCGTATTACTAATTATAGAGACTAATTTTAATTTGTGTATGAAATTGTACATTTAATTCATATATACTAAATAGTTACACTTTTTTCAGCCTCAGGATATTTGAATATGGTTGCGTGACACTTGTCTTCAATGGATGATTGTTTAACTATATCAAGGAAATATGTGGAATTCAATTATAAATCAAATATTCTTAAATTATATTTAACGAAAATGTAGAATTTACCTTTACAACAGAAATTTGATTTTTAATAAGATTTCGCGGAAGTTTTTAAAAGGCAACGTCGTGTAGTTCAGATGTCGTTGGCATAATTTAAACTGTAATACAATCAGAACTTTTGATATAAAATGATTTTTTTTACTATGCAAATATTTTGTCATTTACCAGCTTATATGCCATCCCATTCAGTGTTATATGTCCGATGTGCTACAGACAGATGTTCCGCTGTCCTATCATATGCTTGCAAATTGGTGCATAGTTCCTGGTTCGTCATGTCTTCAATATCGAATATTTCGGTAACTTGCAGTTTGTTGGTATTGACATCTGTATAATAATACGAATATAGCGAGTCGCAGTGCGTAGACATCTCAAGAACATGCCCAGCTTCTCTGCCTAATGGGGTTGTGACACTATGAAAGAGTGACGTTGAGTACAATAGCTTAATTTAAAGAGTTCCATATTTAATTACCCTTCATCTACCAGAATTGAAACCCGTGGCCCACAAATATGGTTGGAATGCAATAGGCCAGTCGCATCGAAATGAGGCTGATCGTAAAGCTGTGTGGCAATTTAAGTACATTAATACATATTTGTATTTTAAAAACCATAGGTGGTTAATAATTAATTACTTACCGTAAATTTGTTAAGAAAACGAACTGTCATAGTATTGTTCAGCTGATCAATAAACTCTTCTACTATGTGACACATTCGTTTAGTCAATTTTGGCGTGAGAGTGGTGAGTCTGAAAAAAATGAGTCGTTCATTCAAAATTAGTAAGTGTCAATCACATAGAAACACGATCTAACGCACTTTGAAATTGTAGCCAGAAAAAAGTCCATCGGTACGGTAGCTGGCAGTGAAAGCAATTTCATGCTCCGATGCTTGAAAATCCAATTGGCCAAGCCTTTGTTCGCCTGCTCTATATAGTCTTGTATAACCACCATTACTGTTTCTGGCAAGTTGGAACTCAATGCATCCTGCAAAATATGATTGAAAACAGTGACATTCCTAACAAGTATATTAAATGCATACCGTTCTATGTTTTTTGCATTCACGACACTCTGACTCAGTCTCTAGGGATGATGCAACAGTCTCAGATACTACATATGTGGACTGAACGGCTACACAACGTCTGCAGTTAATTAAGTTGTTACGATGCAGAAATTGCAGTGCATCATCAAAGCCCTGCTGACAAAATTTTGACAGGAATTCGGCTCTCGGTGGAAACAAAATACGTACAAAGCGGTTGATGTTTTGTCGTGATATTTCGATACTTGTATTGGCCCAGTTTAGATGGAATAATTGGGAGCTCTGGTCCCGTGGACAAATATCGCTCTCGCCGCAAAAAGGGCTTACAGTGATTGTGTTTTCATCCAGTATTGGCAAATTATCTGAAAATGCACCATCCATATAGCGCACGCCACGAAATCGCGGCGGCAAAATTCCGGAAAAGCCAGGAATAAAGCAGGCACAAAGTAGGGCGTCCAACACTTCTTTGCGTGAATGGAAATCAGAAATTATCACATTCTTTCCATCGTAAACGCGCGTTAAAGAGATGTGCAGGCGCCCGCTGACGCGCTTGTGTGCGTCATCGGGGAGATGTTTCTGGAGTCCTTCTAGCAAACAAGTTTGTATGTTAAATGACGGACTAAATGGTCCAAGGGAATGACGACGAGCCTCGTTTACCACACGAAAAAAGTCTGATGTCATGCTGCCTTTAAAGAGACGTAAAAACAATCAAATTATTAAAATATTGTTAAATTTATAACAATCATATTCTGTAAGTTATACACTGCGCGTCATTAGGTTAGCGCCCCCCTTTACATCTCAAAGCTGAATAAAAGCTAAACCATCAGAGCTTCATCTTTAAATTTTTTGTATTATACTACATCTATTTCTCTTCAAAATAAAACAAGTAAGAAAGCTCTAGTTGAGATTACTCGACTACGAGATCCCCTGAACCCTTGGAGTAATAGCTATTTAAATAATTGTTCGCGTCTTTCAGCTTACACAAGAAACACGCACACACACACAAACACACACACGCACGCACACACAGGCATACATACACACATACATACACACACATACACACACACACACACACACACACACACACACACACTACACAAACAATTACATACATATACACACACTGAGCGCTTACTATGAGAACTTAATTGCTTAATAACTTTTTTGTGGACGTACGATCTTCATGAAACTTCCAGATTATGATTATAACATGGATATGCATGTAATTGCCAAAGCACAAGTCTCTAGTATTTGAAATACACTTTTTACAAAAGTGATGGTGAGGGGGTGAATTTAAGGGTGGGGGGTAAATTTTAACAAAAACCGAAATTGCATAAATTGCATATAAGCATACATAAACAATTTGAAGACTCTAGCGATAAAGGTGTAGAAGATATAATTTTATAACTGGTTTTCGATAAGGTTTTTATCGATAAAAAATATCGGGATGAGTTATCGATTTTTAATGATAAACTTGATATGCGCGCTGTAATTACGGACATTTTAAAAAAAAATTGAAGTCTCTAGCTCTTATATCTTCTGAAATCGACGCGTTCATACATACGGACAGACGGACGGACGGACAGACAGACGGACAGGGCCAAATCAACTCAGCTCGTCGTCCTGATCAAGAATATATATACTTTGTGGGGTCTGCCACGCCTCCTTCTGCCTGTTACATACATTTCAACAAAACCATTATACCCTGATTTCCCATTGAAAATGGGTTCAGGGTATAAAAAGAAACTGGCGCCTAGATTTACTTTTAATTTGAATTAATCGGAGCTAAATCAGCCGTTTTGCCCACTGTGCACTGCTGCCAATGGGTGTTTATGCTTGCATCCCTATATTTTTATGTGTGTGAGCGTGTGTGTTTCTTGTGTAAGAAATAAGACTCGAAGAATTATTGTGAAATATCAATTGCTCGAAGGGTTCAGGGGATTTCGTAGTCTCGACTAGAGCTTTCTTACTAGTTGTTCTAGATTTTAAGACAGCTGATAAGGGGCTCCTCTTAGTGCTTGTATAAATCTATGTTTTGAGATTTTGGTGGTATGATGTACCGTCCCCACACGTAAGGGCTTAACAATTTTCGCACACAAATAACAAACAAACGTTAGATGGTAATTTAATGCAGAAAGAAGTAATGTCTATTAAATATTTTCTTTAATTAAAATAAGGCAAAGGTATACGGAAAGATAAATATACCTAGCGCCATTGTTGCTGTTGCTAGCAGTGTTGCCAGGTTTTGAGACATAAAAATAGCAAAATCGTCTCTAAAAAATAGCTGAAAATAGCTAAACAAATTTTAAAATAGCTTACAAAATAGCTGAAACCTTTATGCATTATGCATTTACTTTAAATTTTATTTTTAAATGTCATTTAATAATGTTACAATTTGGTCCACATCCAAATCATCATCAGAATTATATTTTTGATTAACTGGAATCATTTTTAAATATTTGGAAGGCACGGTATAATCATGGCAGCATTTGCCATTGCTGCGCAAGAAGAATTAGCGATGGTATAAATTCACAACTAGTGATGGTATAAGTACGACAAAGTCGTGGTGGTAGTATCGCGCAGATCATTACGTACAATTTGGGACTTAATCGAAAAATGTTTTTTTTTTTTTGCTTTAAATACTAAAATCAAATTCAAAATATTCGTTTGTAAAATAGCTAAATTTATAGCTAATAGCATTTTCAAAATTTTCATAGCATTTAGGGTTCAAAAATAGCTAAAAATGCTATTAAATAGCTAATCTGGCAACACTGGTTGCTAGGCTATCCGTCATGCATGCATCACATATTTTGATCGCATCTAAATTATATTAGAAACAAGAAAGCTCTAGTCGAGACTCCTCGACTACGAGATCCCCTGAACCCATCGAGCAATAGCTATTTTAATCATTTTTCGCGTCTTTCTGCTTTCACAAGACACACGCACACACACAAGCAGCCACGCATAAACACACATGGCTGCAGTGTGCGCTTACAAGAGAACTTAATTGTTTAATAACTTTTCTTGTGGACATACGATCTTCATGAAACTTTTAAATTATAATTATAACATGAATATGCATGCATTTGCCAAAGCACAGGTCTCTAGTATTTGAAATACGCCTTTCTAAAGGTGAGGGTGAGGGGGTGAATATAAGGGTGGGGGGTAAAATTTACCAAAAATCGAAATTGTATAAAATACATATAAGTTTGCATTTAAAATTTGCAAACTCTAGCTCTAAAGGTGTAGGAGATATAATTAAATAACTAGCTTTCGATAATAAAATACCGGGAGTAGTTATCGATATTTAGAGAAAAACTCGATATGCGCGTGATATACACGGACCTAGGAAACAAATTTCAACTTTCTAGCTCTTATACCATCTGAGATCGACGCGTTCATTTTTACGGGCGGACGGACAGACAGGCGAACAGGGCCAAATCTACTCAGCTCGTCGCCCTGACCAATAATATAGATGTATACTTTGTGGGGCCTGCCACGCCTCCTTCTGCCTGTTAGATACTTTTAACAAAACCATTATACCCTGATTTTCCATTTTCAATGGGTTTAATGGTGACTCTAGCTTTTAAGATATAGGAGATATAAAATTGTGAAACTCATTATTTAGGGGTGGTTTTACAATAATAAAGAAAAAGAATGGTAAGTGCTTTATTTAAGGCTCCTACTGTACTGTGAAACACTTCCCATAGCTATAGTAGGCCCAAGAACAGCTATATGTATATACATATATTTTCTATTTGTATATATATCTAATTATTAGGAATACAATTTTAATTGTATAGTCGTATGTGTAGTCAAGAGTCGAAATGAAACGAGCTGATAAGCTGCTTCACACTTTGCAAAAGACAGCTGCTAATATACATACATATGTATTTACTGTAAATAAAAACACATTTAACGTGTATGTGCTAGAGACCCATACGAATGTATATGTATATTTAGTTTTAATCTAATAGGAAACTCATTCACTTTGTTTTGCTGAATTGTTAAACTCGAACCAAACAGAATTGACGTCAATTGGGAACCATCGTAAGACACACACTGACTAACATATACATGTATGTATGAACGTATATTCGAATATATGTATATATTCATATATAAAATTGAACATCGGAAGATCCTATAAACAGTCTAGTACGTATGTTTGATATATACATATATGTACATATGTACATACATATATCCAATGGCTGATATCAACTTAACTTTAAATTTCGATGGTTTATTACTCGTTTCAAAGGTCGAAAATCATTAACCAAAGAGAACAAAGCAAATTACTCACTAGTAACTGTCATACATATATATATACATATATGCGAACACAGGCACACACCAGAAACCAATCTTTTCTAACAAGAGAGACGAACTTCTGCAATTTATCCGGTAAAGGTGCATTAATGTATTCTACCTGGCTGCCCACCGAACTTTCTACAAGTATGTAGCAAAAACATTCAGCAACAGGTAAAGGAATATATGTACGTTTAAGTAAGAGTGTAAATATAATATACATATGAATGTAAGCCACAGCACACCTTAAGGGCTTTGATTAATGCTATATATATATATATATATATATCGTTATACACCACTTTCAATTTAAGAGTATAATATATAACGTGCCTACACGGATAAGGAAAATCGACATTCGCCAAATCAAATATATTGGTTGATATAAAATATACATATGTATACGTATATGAACATATGAATGAACGCAACAAAAGAATTTATTTTTAGGGCTCCTAACAGTTTACAAACATGTTTACATGTTAAAACACACGCATACATACATACATGCTTACGCAGCTGGTCCGTTTGGTTTGTTGTTATGCTTATGTTTCCGCAGCGACGAGCCCCCAAATGGGAGTGTTCACAGCTGGTACTGAATCGTTTCTGTATGTGCGCATCTTTTATTTCATGATATATTATATACTAACTACAGATCGAAATACGCGCTGATCTGCACAATGCGACATCTGAGCCAGCCAATTTAGCGCTTAGTTTTATTATATATACATAGAGTGGTATTTATTTATATTTTAATATACAAGTGTAAAAAGAAATACCTAGTGGCAAATCGCATAGCAGGCAGCATGCTGCAAGGGAGCCCGCCGAGGCTCCACCAATTTTTTCTAGAAGTAGATGCGGAGCGTATTTTTTGAAGGAGACAGCAACACCGACATGGTATATTCCCAGGAAACCGCATCCAGCAAAGGATAAATTCATATTGTGCCTCCTTTTATCACTAGTTAATAAATTTATTATTTCGTGTGCTTGATAAGACCGTTTCAAGTTTCGCGCTTTCCAACTTGACTATTGGCACCAAAAATACACGTATTTATATATATCGTAAATGATTGGTAAACAAAAATACTTGATTTTGTACACTTAGTATTTATTAAACTTTTTATTTTCACGTTCCTTTTTATTTTACTTCCGATCACAATTTTCACGAACCGTTACTCACAGCTGCTTTAATAACAATGAACAGCAAAATTGTTTGTTGCTATATAAGACTTTGTCTACTCATATATAAGAAGATATTTCAGCATTATTTAGCTCAAATCTGCAACTTAATATCGATAGTCATCGATAGTTTTCTGAGTTTCGGCGCCGAAGACCTTAAAATAGAATATTATCACTAACCACTAAACAAACAGTTAGTGATATTATATACTTTCTCAAAGGAAGTGATGAATTATTATTATCGAATTTTCTTTGTAATTTAATATTTTAATTAAATATACATGCCTAGTCTTACCATTCTACATTAATTATTTCTGCGGAGCCATACCCACATCATCGATAACTTTAGGTCTAACGATTAGCACAGCGAATTTTCGGGTGCGGCGAATTTAGGCTTCGGTGCGACGAAACTAGGTAGTTTTGTGCTGCACTTGCTAAAATATATGTACACATATATGTATTGTATATTTAAGAAAAAATGGAATTGTCAATCAAATTACAAGCTAGCGGATGGTAAGTAATTCGAGCAGTATAACTGTGAACATTTGATGACATCAACATCTCCTCAGGCATTTCACCGAGAATGGAATAAAGTCATTGCAAAGCGTCGTCAGCGACGCCTACGACCCAAGCAAAATAATTGAAGTTGCACTAAATGTGAGTAAAACCGAACGAAAGCCGGCAACGGTAATTGCATACAGCGTACTAATCGCAACTATTATTTTATTATAGCGTGACATGCGTGACTTTGGTGGCGGCGCATTACCTATCAAAAAGGACGAAAGTACTGGCGTGATTCCAGGACGCATTGTCCTGCAGGTGCAAAAAGTTCGCAACATAGCGGCTCCGAAAAGCAATGAAGAGTCGAAGGCTGCGCCCCGGCTTTTGCAAGTGGAACTTAGCGATGGGCAAACCGTATTGCATGCCCTAGAATTGGAACCCGTGCCAGCGCTCAACCTAAACGTGGCGCCTGGCACAAAGATTTACTTTCACGCCGAGAAGCTTCAACTGCTGCAAGGCTTTCTGTTATTGCGAAGCAACGAGCTTAAAATTTTGGGTGGACGGGTGGATGCACTATACGAGAAATGGGATTTTGCCCGCACTATGCTGAAATATGCTCGAAGCGGACGTCCACTTACCGGGTCGTCTGCTCCACCGCCGTGGGTGACTTTTGGTAAGAGCATCGATGCGGATGCTGATCGCAATTTCAAAAGCCTTGCATCGGCTGCAGACAAGGACAAAGATAAGCCTAGCAAGGAAAACGACGACTTCAACAATATGCGAAGCGAAGCAATCGCAGTGGCAAGCAAAGCGGCTGTGAAGAAGGTCTTTGGAGGCGGGGGTCAAAATATTGTGGACCACAACATCAAGAAAATTCTGGAGAAAGGATACAGTAAGGAAGAGGCCAAGGCTGCTTTGCAAGCGACGCGCAACAATTTGGAGAGAGCTCTCTTCAATTTGAAGAGGCGCAAGGATGCGGCTGACAGTTCAAACGAAACGCAATTTCGTGGCGGACGCAATGGCAGGGAGAGTAGGCGTGGCGCCAGCCTCAAAGATGAAGCCGAAGCGGCAAAACCTGCAGCAAATGCCACACTTTTCGATTTTCTCACCACCAAGCTACGCACGGACCAGGCAACCGTCGATATAAACAGGGAAAACGTGAAATCTAGATCCAATGCCGACAAGGTGTTGGACATGCAATACGAAAGTGATTATAAAGCAGCAGTAGCTGTGTCTTTGGCTGAGAGCAAATCTCAGAGTGTGGCCGAGCGCACGCGCTTCGAAAACAATGTTTCGAGCAGTTTTGCTGCCAATCGTGGCGGCCATTCTGACCGGCTTCAAAGGGGCGGCACACGCAGTCGGGCTGGCCGCGAAGAGCGTTCGTCTCGTGGCATTGGTAGTGGCAGCAGCTTCTACGATCGAGGCGGAGCTGCGGGTGTTAGCAGCGCGCGCAAGCCGGATGCCAGTGCACGTGCAACTGAGCAGCCGCATGCTAAAAGCTCCAACCGTAATGGCCATGACTCAAATCCCGCGCCCAGCAAAGGCAACATTGAAACAAATAAGTCAGAGAGCTCTGCAAAGGAGCCAGGGATTAATCGTCGGGCCCTCGAGCGCCAAAACAATCGCAATGGCAGCCTTCGCACTGAGAATGGAACTGCCGGCAGCAGCAGCAACAGCAACAACAGTCACAACAGGCGTCGTCCGCAAGGCAATAGTACATGTGCTGGAGCCGCAGGCGTTGCTCCTCCGCCTACCAAGACCAGCAATCCTTTTACCAGTCATACCGATGAATATAATAATCGTGTGAATAAGGTCGTTACAGAGACAGCCAACATGAAGATAAGCAGCTCGAAGCGAGAACATAGACGCGGCGGCAGACAAAGTGCAGGTCAATCCACCCGACAGCCATCTGAGCCCCAAAGTAGTTTACCTCAGGCCCGAAAATCAGTTGAGAAGAGTAATCCAACTCCGCGGCAGCAGAAACTTCTGCAGGAGAATACACGACAGCCATCGAATGCGAATTGCACTCAATTGCCAAATGGTTACACTTATGACCCCAGCAAGATAATGGGCTTCCAAACCAAGGAGGCGAATGAGTTTGCCATGAGCCTTTTGAAGAGTCAAGGATTGAGTATTGCTTCTCCCCCAAATGCGCATACCCCGGCCCAGGGTCAGTCGGCAAGCCAGCAACCAAATAACATCTCTTCAGCTCAAGTAGAGCCACCTGCTTGTCTTGCGCCGTCCAAACCACAGCCAACAGCAGCTGTTGCCCTAGCAATGCCATCGCCGTCTAAAAGCTTTGATCTGGCTGCACCATTAGATCCCTGGCAGTGGAAGAGTGGCGATTTATGCATGGCCAAGTATTGGGACGATGGGCGTGTAAGTACATAGCAGCACCTACAATGCTCAACATGAAAAACTCATAAATAAATTATCTTCTGTTTTCAGTACTATGAAGCTGAAATCACAGCTGTCTCTGAAAATACCTGCGTGGTGTTCTTCATCGGCTATGGCAACTATGAAGAAGTATTGAAATCTGATATTCTGCCCATCTCGGACGCTCAGAACAGACCCTTAACGAGCCTGTCCCAGGCGCAGCAGCTCCAATCGCGCCATCGGGCCGATCGTCAGACTGTCCAACAACAGGTGTATGTCCCACCTCACAAAAGGGAATATTAAGGAAATCGCAGAGACCACCGCCTGTCTAAACATATTCATTCACAACTAAATTAAATGTATCGAAAGAAAATTTATGAACGTTTTCTACATTTGTATTCATGTGAAACATATACATACGTATAGTATGAGTTCATTATATACCTTGGAACATTTTCCGTGTAAAGCGAGCTCAATTACATATTCAAAGTTGAATTGCCTCATTAAAAATTTACAGTCAAATATAGATATGCGTAGAATAATATTGAAAGTCGAAGGTCGTTTAACGAATCAAAAAACTTAAATTTATTTAGAGAGATCTGTTTATTATTTCTCTATTTTTTATATGCTTGCAACTAGGACTACATTATCTCATCAATCGTACCGTAGTTTTCCGTTCCGAGGCCCATTTAGAAGAGCAAATATCGCAAGGATAAGGACAAGGCCTGAGCAAAAACTTCTCATTCAGCCAAACTTTACAAGAAATGTTAAAATTTGTAGGTGGAGGCTTCCATTGGGTTGATCGAGCTTCGACCTAAGTCCGAATCGAGAGATTACCAAATCAGCTGTAATAAATGAACAGGAAATTTAAATAACACAACTTGTTTACATGAATGTTGTTGTTTTTTTTTTTAAATAATATGTTTAGAAATAAATTGGCTTTTCAAATTTTGCGGGTGACGAATAATTAATATGGAATTGATTTATATTAGATTTTTCTAGCTAGAGTGGTATGTATTATTTATATTAGACATTATTTTCACTATCACAGTTGATCTCATTTGCAGCAGACTCTTATATATAAGTATATATGATTATTTTAAATGTACTTATAGTTCTTTTTGTATAACTTAAATTAAGTTATTTTTTTAATTGATTCGAATTTTAGATTCATTTGAGAAATTACCGCAAATGTATTTCTGTACTATATCTATAGTATTTAGTATATACTAAGTTTTCATATTTTCAAAAGTAGAGCTAATAATCTAAAAAAAAAATACGGCCACACCTACAAGCACGTGTTAAAAAGTAAAAGAACTGCAGTCCGCGACGATTTTGTATATTTTAGTAAAATGGTTAAAGTAAAACTGGAACACGCTGAAGAAACGGATGTTTCTATTAAGGTCGGCGAAAATACGACTATTAAGGAAGAAGAGACCTATGACGATAAATTGCTTTTTATAAATGCTATAGCGAAACCAATGGCAAGCAAAAAGCTGGCCAAAAAATGTTATAAATTGGTTAAGAAAGCCATGAAGCATAAAACCTATTTGCGAAACGGATTGAAGGATGTCCAAACGCGTTTGAGGAAAGGTGAAACAGGGTAAGGCACCTAAGATTCTATCTGCCAGAATTGCTAATAAACAAAAACTCGTAGTATTTGCATTTTCGCTGGGGATGTGACGCCTGTTGATATTATGTGCCATCTGCCGGCGGTTTGTGAGGAGAAAGGTATTCCCTATACTTATACTCCTAGTCGTGCTGACCTCGGCGCTGCCATGGGCGTCAAGAGGGGTACTGTGGCTCTGCTTGTGCGACAAAACGATGAATACAAGGATCTATACGATGAAGTTAAAGAAGAATTGTCTAACCTAAATATTCCCGTTTGAACTTGTAAAACTAATTCATATTTCTGTAAGCATTTTATTAATAAGTCATTAAATCTAGAGTAAAATTTGTAAAATCCATTAGGAACTTGGATAAAGGATAAATGAAAACAGATCTGGTGATAGTCATATAGACTATCTATGTATTTGTTTTCGTATACATATGTATATCATTATTGTAATTTGTGAAATATACATGAACATTTTATGAAATATTGCGTGTTTTTTATGAAAAAAGAGCGGAACATTTTGAGAATTTATTATACATCAAAATAGTGACTACTGTACAAAATGCAATTGAAACTTCATATTACATCTTCCACACTAGATGATTTATAATAAAAACATAAAAATTTCCTATATGTCAATGGATTTGACCTTTAAATATTGCTTTTAAGTAGACAAATATAAATCGAATCAGCTACAATGAAATCTGGCTGCAAGATTCCAAATTCGGTAGGTCGAAGCTGGGGTATATTAAAGTATAATCTGATTTTTAATTAGCCTATGTTATCTGCATCGACGGGGTTCGTTCGTTGCGTTTCGATTGCTGGATTTAAAATCAGCAATTGATATTAACACTTAAGATAGCCAAGACCTATAAATTCCGGCGATGCTCAATCAAACACATATGTAAGTCCAAAAATATTTAATGCACGCGTCCAGAGGTAGGTTCCACCCGGCGACATCAGAAATTTACATATGTATTTGCAATTAAAGGAACGAAACAATTTGGATGCTGTTTTTGGTGTCCCTTAGGGATTTTTAAAATTTTCTTTATATATATATATATGTATATTTTTCGTATTTCGTATTAATTGTGTTATACAGTTTTTCAATGTGTAGTTTGTATGTGGCTCGTGTTTTAAATAATTAACTTTTGTGCTTAATAAAATGTGTTTAGACGAACTGTCATTAATATAACTATATTTGTATAGTTTATTTTTACTGTTATTTAATATGAAAGGTATGTATATACATATATATGTATATATATATATATATATATATATATATATATTATATAAGTTAATTACATTCATACGCCCTTGCAGGCCAAATAAGTAGATACAAATATTACCAAAAATTGAACAGACAGACATTTTATGAATAATTAAATCAATTAATTTCCACTATGAAATTGGATTTACCGGGCGTGGGCAGCGTTATATACTTATCCATTTTTTGCATCCGAGCAATCAGAGAAAAGTTCATACTTAAGTGATGAAGAGGTATGTGTGTACATACAATAAGTGTCCCATACATATAGTATCCAGTATATATTAAAAATACAATAATAAAGCATTATATTTGTACGTTATAAGTACGTAAATAAATTAAAGATTTGAATATAGATAGATAATAATGTATTTGAGTACATGATAAATTTTCAGTTTCTAAATTTTCGAATGGTCAACTGCTGTACAATACTCAAGATACAATATATATTTATATGTATTTATAACTCAAGCGCACTTAGGCCAAACTGAACATTATTCTCGTAGCATATGATCTACGGCTAATAGAATGATTATAAAATACAAACTTGTTTGAATTACCTTAAGAACTAGCTAATTGTTTGTTTGTTTTTTTTTTTTTTTTTTTTTTTTTTTTTAATTTTTTTTTTTTTTTTTTTTTTTTTTTTTTAATTTTAGTTTTTAAGGGCTGGGTGCTCAGAGCGACCCTGCGACATACGAAATGACAGCGCCAAGGGCGTGCATAGGGCGGAACGGCCTGCTGCGGCATTTATAACTACTAACCATATGCATATAATATATAATAATTGTAATAATAATTAAATCTACATATTTAAATTAATTGCGATTAAAAAAGCAAACGGGAGAGCTAAAATTAACAAGCAATTCATGATCTGTTTTGAGTTTTTCTAATTTTTCCATTTTTTTTTTTTTTTTTAAGACTCTAAAGTCTTTAATATATGACGTTGATGCCACATGCAGCAGGCGGCGGCATTCAACGACGTCCATTACATGTGATCACTGAAAATAGTTGTAGAAGCCAGATGTTGCCTGTCCCAATTCTCGTATGGCCGAAAATGGATCTTTTTCCATGTCACTCGCTGCTAGGGAGGATTTCGAAGCATGAAGGGACCGTGTTGAGTTCATTGTTGGCTGCTGATGTGTGGAAGCTGCTTGCGGCCCTTGACTTAGCACAGCCGCATACGTGGTTGCTGAGGACTGCTGGTGGTTGACGGCGTCAGTTGAGGGTTGTTGAGCAGTCTGTGGGGGCACGCTGGAGAACAAGTCCAGGTCATGTCCGCTTTTGATTGCGTTGTAGTTATTGTAGAGCAGACCGTGGCCATGATCGGACTTGTTCGAGTGTTCGGATGGCGTATTATTGGCTTGGAACAAGACCTCAATCAGGTTGGCACTCGTGTCCAAATTGGCGAAAACACTGGGCATATTGTTATAATTGTTGCCGCCATTGCCGGCCATTGCCTGGCGGCGGTAGAGCGGTACAGAGCTGCCATTATTATGAAGTCCGTTGCTGTTCTGTCCACCATTATTATGACTATTAAAGTTGTTAAACGGCTTGTCGTTCAGCAAAGTGTTCCCTGCTACAGAAAAATGAGTGTCATGCTCTTGGACATAAAGGAGGATAAGCCAGATGGAACTTACCATTGTTTATGAAGTTAGATACACCAGCGTTGCTGTTAGAGCTTGGGTGGACACCTGCTCCCTGCATCGGCCCAGTCATGTGGTTTGAATACATAGCTAACGGCTGCAACTGGCTAGCGTTTGGGCCATGTTTTCCCATAGTCAGAGGAGCTGGTTGTGTCTGCTGTTGACCCTGCATCATACTAAAGAGCCGACTCTGTTGTTGCTGCTGTTGTTGTTGCTGTTGCTGATGCTGTTGCTGCTGTAATTCTCCGCCATTTACCATTCCATTTGAGAGTGGCATGGCCCCGCTACCCGCTGTCGATGTTGTTACGCCCACCATGCCAAGAACGTCACGCAAAATGGGTTGTGCGATGTCATTGGCCCCATTCATGATCGAATTAAACACAAGATCTATTTGCTGATTAAAGTTGTCCAGGGGTGGCGACGACTCCACTGGCTGCTGATTCAGGTTTTGACCCTGTCCAGGGTAAATTACCGGATACTGTGCCCGTTGCGGTTGTGGCCCCAGAACAGAATGCGGATTAGATATCATCGGCGGTCCTGGTACAACCGGTGGCTGGGGCTTGTGTCCTTGCGGATGATGCTGTGGTTGGTGACCCTGTTGCTGCAACGTGGTCATAACTTGGCGCAGCATATCGCCGAACTTGTTGGCTGCCTCTTGACCCGCTGACTCAAGTAGTTTGAGGTACCACTTATACTGTTCTTCTTTAGAGCTGAACGCCATCTCATAGATACTCATGTTGGGAGGAAGAAGCTCGTGCGCAGCCGGAAAGCGCAAGTTGCTTGGCGACGGCTGTTTGCCGGCCGTGTACATGTAGGGCGCAGGTGGGGGTTGCTGAGGTGGACCAGCGGACTTCTCGTAGTTGGCATAACCTGCTGCAGTGCCATTATGACGCAGATAGGGTGGTGGCCCATTTTCCATTGGGCTCATTGGGCCATTGGGAACGCTGCTTCCACGTTGAATTGGTATCGGTGGCTGCCCGTACAGATGGTGTTGTGGAGGAAGGGGCTGTTGAGATGGTGGCGTCTGGCCATGGTTGTAAAGCGTCTTTTTAGCCAAGTAGCCCAGTTCACTTGGATTCCTTAACAGTTGCGCCGCAGAGGTTGCATTAGCTGCAGCCGGTGGCACACTGCCTCCTCGCAGAGCCTGTTAACGAAAATTATTCAAAATATGTTAAGCCTTTTTTACCACATAATGATAAGTAAATCTAGCGATAGTACTAACAAGTCTTCAGGATCGCCCCAATTTGACTTTGAATCAAAAACATTTTAGACTTGCCCTTGGTATGTTAAAAATCAGTATATTTCTCGATTAAAATTTAAACTTACTGGAGGGGGCAATGGTCCCGGGCCACGGCCTGGAGCATTCGACTGCTGAGGTGGCTGCTGCTTGTTGGGCGGTAAGACGCTCCAAGGATTGGTTTGCGGTGGTGGACCCCAGAGACTGGCATTGGGATTCTGCTGCTGCTGTTGAGGCTGTTGTGGGGCGACGGGTGGCCGCCAATGCTGCATAGCTGTATACTGACCATAAGGCGGGGGCGGAGGTCCTCCACTGCCTGGCTGAGACTGTCGCATATGTGGCGGCACAGGAGGCGGCCCGTTAGTTGGCGGGCCACGCATTCCCATATGGCCACGTATATGTCCGGCTGGTCCCGGACCTGGTCCTGGTGACGGTCCGTTGGAAGATTTACCGCCAGCGGCCACTGCTGCTGCCATCATTGCAGCCATATGCGTGGAGTACATATGATTGGCAGCCATTGCTGCGGCCATTTGATTCATTTGATGCGCAGACGGCCCGGGGCCCATGCCAGCGTTGGCAGTATAATGAGGCGGCTGACTGCCAGGTGGCACGTGTGCTGGGGTATTTAGGTACAGAGCTGCTTGTTCGCGTAAGTATGCCTCCGGTTGCAGAGCACGAGGAACGAATTCAGGAGCTAATGGATTGAGAACATAGCCGCGCTTCATTTCGACGCCATCTAGTTGGGATCGCAAGTTTGACCAAGTCAATCCAAATAGGGATTTGTGCTCATCGCATATTTCAATGAATCGCTCCCAGACTTTGCGACATCGTCCTATCGAACAGAGAGCAACCGGATCGCCAACGACAGCTACCAACGATTGCGCCCGTGTAATCGCAGTATTTAACAACTTTGAGTTGCTTAGAAAGCCATAATCGGTGTCAGCGTCACCTATGCTTGCTGCGGAAATGGCCGCACCCCCAGCACCTGGGCTGTTTCCTTGCGGCAAGCATGTTCGCCTTGTTCGCACTGTGGACAGAAACACAGCACGGAACTGTTTGCCTTGCACATTGAGAACACGTTCCACAGAGATTCCACCCATGCGACGTTTCCTCAGCTCGGAACGAATGCGAAAAACTTGATCCGCATACGGAGTCATAATTCCGATGCTAGTGTCATTCAACTTGCCCCAAGCACTTGGCCAACGTTTGCGCAGTTCCGAGACACGTTCAACAACTTCGTAGACCTCAGCATTGTTATAGAATGCTGTAGAATTTTTATCTTGTACATCCTCTCCTCTCGTTGTAAAAAATGTGAGTGGGTAAAAGCGTTCATG